TCGTATTAATAAAACATTATCATAAACCCTTGATAAAATTTCTCTATCAAAATTGATTGAGGTTTTTCTTTGGGTGTAAATTTTTACTTAATCCCTGCATTTTGATGTTCATAGCGCTACATTATTGTTTAATTTTCTGCATCCACATAATATTCCATATAGGAAAAATTATCATTTAAATTCACATTGCGATCAAAATGTTTAATCAACTTATCTGTCATGACTATTGCAAAACTGATTAAAATATATTTATTTTATTACTTTAAAAAATATTTAATTTTGTTATGAGTTTTAAAATAATTTGTTCTATTTACCATGTAACAACTTGAATAGCATAAAAAATTAATTCTAGAACTGTAAAACATAAAATTCTATATAATACATGATTAATGAATATAATTAATTTTTAAAACTATTATAGAATTATTATTTAATTAGGAATTGTTATTATATTTACAGCGAAGAAGCTTAGTTGTTCTACTATTGATAAATAAAAATTTCAAGGTAAAATAATGCTATTAATTGATATCGTAACACAATAAAAGAAAGGAAAACAGATGTAAAATGTAATTATGATGTGTACGAAGATGAATATGAGGATATGGTGCCTGCTGTTTAGGTATTCACATGCGTGTTGTCGTACAGCAGTCACCGTGCTCGGCTGACACTCCGGGTTAGCTGTGAGTGTCGAAAGGCTGTTGTTATAGGAAGGGAATCAGAGTAACACCTAGGTATGAGGTGCAGACGAAATGCAAGACACAAATAACAGGTGTACACAAAAGGAGCCCAAAGTATGAGGTGCAGACGAAGTGCAAGACACAAGTACTTCAAAGAGAGAACAGGGTAGTCGAGTATGAGGTGCAGTCGAAGTGCAAGACTCAAATACTGAGCGTATTAGATAAGGAGTATAACAAAGTACGAGGTGCAGACGAAGTGAAAGACACAAGTACTCTGAAATGTTGTGGAAGAGAGTAGATAGGTTAAAAAGGAAAAAAACAAAGACTTTACTTTAAGCAGTAAGCCGGACAGCGACAACCGAGTACTGAGGCTGATGAATGATACAAGGCACTGGAGTCGACTAACCACGATGGTCAGGTCTTTTGGGTTTTTATAATAATTTAAACTATTACCAATTTGGCAATAAATATTATTTGTTAATTCATCAGTCTCAGGCAGTGGATGTGCTGTCTGTATTTTATTAAAATAATTCTCACGATAATGGTAACGTGACACCATCACATTAATAAATGTCATAATAATGACTCATTTTCTTTTATTAGTTTTGTCGAACGAAAAGAAATTTTATTGAATTTAATTATAATAAATGTAGCCAAGTTTGCAAACTCCAGGTGCGTAAATATTTCTAAGAGTGTATGAATATTATTGTGCCCAAGTATATGTGTAGTAGGACCCAAAGAAAATATTTATATTTGCTATATAAATTTTTATATATCTAGAATGGGTAAGAATATAAAAACATTCTCAATGATTTTTACTATTATCTCTAACATTTGTATAACTAATTTTGTAATGTTTTCCCAAAAGTAAAACATATAGTAAGTAGCTTGAGTGGTTAGAGCACGTATTCATGTATGTGCATAATATATTTAAATGAACATAATTTTAATAATAAATTTTTTAATTTATTTTAAAGTGTACATACAATAGATTTAATTTCACAAATTTGTTAAATTAATTGTTCCAAAATAATTGGAATGAATTGTACTTCATAAAGAATAGAATAAAAAATTCAAGTTGAAAAGAATATAATAAGAAATTGAGATATTTTCTCTAAAAATTAATTACATGTAAATTATATTAGCGGGTTAAATATAAAGTGCTGACTAGATGAAACTAATTAATATTTAATTATTCAATAAGCTAATTATCTGCCTTGACTTAATTTCATAATAATTTGGTCCAATTCTAGCAAGTATGTTGCAATTGAAAACTTTGTTTGAAAGTTTCCATAAGATTTTCTTCGGAACACGTGAAAGTTTCAAATCTGAAAAAAATTTTAATGCACTTTTATTAGAGTATTGGGATAAATATTAAAAAAAAACAACCTAATGTTGTCATGGTAAAATTTTACCTCTAAGAACGCATTTAATTGCTAAAGGTGTGTGTTGAGTACAAAATGGCTGTATTTTACGTATATTGTTAGCATTTACATTAATAAACTCGCCCCAATCAAGCAATGATATAAAAAAAGTCGATTTTCCACTAAAATCATCATTAATAGCTTTACAAATGCCTCTGTACCACTTACCGTCGTCTAAAATTAAGAAAAAAAATAATTATTAAAGCTTATTGATACATTTTATTTTGATTCAAATTTTTTTTTACTCCGGGTTGTTATGCATTAAATAAATCTTTTAAAGCTATAACTAATTAATCACTTAGCTATAGTTTCACCTAATAGCAATAAGAACTAAATGAAACTGGTGATTTGAGCAACATTGTTTACTATTAAAATTACAAATCTAGAGCAATAACACTTTTACCTATGGATTAATTTTAAAATTTATATTAAATTAAATAATTTAAGAGTTAATTACTATATTTAATAACGCATAGCTCATCCAGTTGTGGGGCGTACGTTTTTTCCTCATAGGAACTGTAAAACGCATTTATGCGTCTTTCAAGTGACCTAATGGATTTTTCTTCATTCACTTTAGCCAAAAAAAGATAATCATTAGAAGTGTAAAGCACTCTTAGAGGATATACGTGGTTTATAATCAAGTTAAACTTTGGCATATCTTTCATCATAAATCTTTTTTCATCTTCTGTGACCTGAGTTATCTGATGTTGCTTCGTTGTAGTATTGTCCTGGTAAACGAAAATAGATTACAGTTATATTTGATATTCATATAAATAAAAACGTATAATACATGTGAATTTAATAGTAAAATATTTCGGAGAAGTTATAAACGAAAATAGGTACTCACATTTTCGATGGGCACGAGTGATGCATTTTGACCATTCGATTCAATGAATGGTGAATCATTGGTATCAGAAATGTTCACTTGGTCAACGACTTCATTTGTTGAAGTTAGGAAATTTTGTTGCTCATTCTGAGTATAAAATACAATTTTATTTTTAATATAAAAAATAGACACTAATAATTAAATTGTAAACAGAAATAGGTACTCACATTTTCGATGGGCACGAGTGATGCATTTTGATCATTCGATTCAGTGAATGGTGAATCATTTGTATCAGAAATGTTCACATCGTCAAGGACTTCATTTGTTGAAGTTAAGACATTTTGTTCCTCATCCTGAGTATAAAATACAATTTTAGTCGAAACAACAAAAACAAGCAACACTAATTAAGAAGTAAACAAAAAATTCTCATGTATAGTATTACTATTGTTTGATTTTCTGCATCCACGTAATATTTCATATAGGGAATATTATCATTGAAATTCACATTGCGATCAAAATGCTTAATCAACTTATCTATCATGACTATTGCAAAACTGTTTAAAATATATTATTTTATTACTTTCAAAAACATATAATTTTGTGACGAATTTAAAATAATTTATTTTACTTACCTTGTTGCAACTTGAACAGCATAAAGAATAAATCTCAGAACTATAAAACAAAAAAAATTATTGTTTTATATAAATATATGATAAGTGTACTGTATTATTTACTTTTTAAAACTGTTATTGAAAGTATTAATTTATTATTTATTATTATACTTACGACGAAGAAACTTGATAATCATCAATTTACTATTGATCCAGAAAAATTTTTGGGTAGCTGTAAAATAATATTATTTATTATTAAAACTATCATATTGGCTAATTATTTTAATTAATTTTGTCAAACGAAAAGAAATTGTATTAAATTTTAGTGTAATCCATACACAAACCTGTTATTTAAAGTTGTATAACAATATCATAGCTAATTAAATTAAGTTACTTACGTGATGATAGATCAGGATGAATTATTTTCTTCATACTTTTAGTAAATCAAAAAGAAACGCAGGCACAATATTTTATAAAACAAAATATTTTCACTATAGCTTCTTATGTAATATATTTTTTGTGTTGAGTGTATAGTTTAAGCAAAATGTTATTTCAAAAAATAAACTGTTACAAATTAACAGTTATTTCAAGTTTGAGTAGCCATTAACGACGGTCGAATTAAATTATTTAAACCAAGAAATATTTTTATTAATACAAATTTAAAATATATAGGACTTTATTGTGTTTTATTTATATGTGCCCTTTTTAGTTATTCTTCCGTTGTACACAAATAAAAAATCTAATATTATTTTTAAATTTAATATTACTCCTATAGAAATTGCAATATTTAATAAAAAATTACAAGAAATAATATTAACCATACAGCTTAGTTTATGACTTAAAAAATGAGATTCCGGAAAAATCTAAATTCATTATGGAGTATCAGAACTTAACTTTCTTAAAATTCTTTTTTAAATGGAAAAAAATTTCAATTTTGAATACAAAATTTTAAAATCATTCAAAAAATGTACAATAAGTTAAAATTATTAAACATAAACATGTTAATCAAATTAATAATATTATAGAATCATTTTAAATTTTTTTTAGAAACATCTAGTAATTCCATTATAGTGTCTGTACATCAATGGATTTAAAACATAAATCTGAAACATTTTATGAGGTTTCTAACAAATTTGATAATAGAAATAATTAATAAAGCGTTTCCAATATATACCAGGGACAAGTAAATACTGTAATGGCTAATAAAATAATACATATGTTAATTATTAGAGAATTTTATAATTCTCAAACTCCTTTTTTAGATATATTTGAAGTATTTTTTAATTTAAATAAAATTTCTCTTTTATTGTATTATTATAGAAGAATACGTTTAAAAATATATCTCGGGGTGTAATTAAATGCATAATATACCAGATATTTCATGAACAGCCAATACAAGTATTAATGTGTATCCTATATTTGACCATAAAAGTAATAAGATTGAACCACAACCCACAAAAAATACTATTAAAAAGAATACTGAACCAATTGCGACTAATGATAAATAATTTAAATTTATCAAAATATTTTTTTCTTTATTAACTGAGAGAAAATATTTCTTCATATGATAATTGTGGGCTTTACGCATTAAATAATAAATGTAATGTAACTTACTTATAATATATATTATTATAAGTATATGTATACATACAAATTACTAAACATAAACGAATTACTTGGTTATTCGCTGTATGGCTATCAATTGGCATGTTAGGGGTCTATTTTATATTCGAGGCTCTTCGTCAAAACTAAAAATCAAAAACTACACAACGTCTGCCTAAATATTGTTGAATTATTTTTTTTTTATCTCTTCAACAACAAAAAATCTTAACATTATTTTTCTTAAATTAAAACTGCTACTTTTACCTTGATAATATTATAAAAAAAAATTTACAAACAAATTTTGTTCTTATCATTTTTTTATCCGATCAACCATTTTTTTTTTCAAATTGTTTAAAGATTTGGATTCAAAATAAAAATTAAACACTAATTTGTTTCTCATAATACCGGAGGCAACAATGGATTTCAATGGGCCATAAATTATTTTTATGTAAGTTATCAAAAAATTTTTTTCACGCAGTTCGTTCAACAATGTACGATATTAAACTTGTACGGAATATTACAGTATGCGTCTATTAATAGTCATCAATAACTTCTTTATATAAAACAGTAAAATTTCAATAGGATTTTAGTTTAAAAATACTTAACAGATTGAAACTGACAAAGGGTTGATCGAGTAAAAAAATTAAATTAACAAAATTGTATGTACTTTTTTTTTCCTATCATAAAATAAAAATAGGAGTTCTCATTTCAAAGAACTAATGTTAAAGATTTTTATCATTAAAGGGATGAAAATTTTTAACTACATATTATTGTAGTTTTTCGAATCAAACTATATTTGCCTTTACAAAAAATTAAGATTTTCAATAGTTTCCGAAAAAATGAGTATTCTATCCTTAATAAATTACTCTATCAATTAATATGTAAAGTATGCGATACAATCAGTAATGGTATAATGATTTAACCAAGGAAATATTAAAAAATTGAGAAACAGTGACTAAACATCTCAAAAATTTTTTTTTTATTAATTTATTAAAAATCGTGCCTTTCAAGCATATGCATAGGTTTGAGTATATATGAGGAATATGGGAAATTTTCTTAAACTGTTGTTTGTGGTTTTCAAATAAAAAAATCGGAAAAAATCAATATTAACCGGTTTTTAGAATTATTCACTACAAAATATATACAAACAGCGGCGAATACTACAATAAGTCAAATTTGATATTTTTGCAAGATAAAATAAATGTCACTACATTGAAAAGACTTAGAAACTTATGAAAACGTAAAATTTTTATAAAAAGGATTGATTTAAGAATCTCTACAACATATCGCAAACAATTTTATTTTTATAAATTAAAAAATTTGCATTTTATTGCAATAATTTGTCATTAACATGTTTTTATATCAATGGCAGTAATAATCTGTTTTGATAGCCCCGTAAATTATTTATTATGGTCGTTACCGAGATTAAATTTTCACACCGGTTCATTAATAATTTTCATTTTCTTAGTCAATAAAAATTGATTATGCTATAACATAGAAATTAATACTACTGTATATAAAACAATATCATAACAATAAAAGTTTACTCTAAAATCACTGAATTTTAATATGTTGTAACAGATGAACTGTTCATCGGATATAAAATTTATTTATTACTTTCATATGTATTTCCAATTATCTATTATAAAATAATTTTAGTTTTTAAAGTATAAAACTTATTATAATTTTTTTTTCGGAAATTAATACTAACCTGTTTTACAATTAAAAAAAAAAATTAGGTTTTATATCCTCTATATCTTTTATAATTGTATCAACTTAAGTTTTTTAAATATAATTAGCTTATAAGATAGAAATCGTATAGACTAGTTTAATGCATATGATACTAATTAAAAATGTTAAAATGATAGTCCTATGATTTATAAAGGATGGACCTAAATATTATTTTATAACAGATAATTGGAGATACGAGGCCATATTATTAATAAATAATCTTAAATTTTCGTTCTACATATTTCAATTATTTTAATCGTGTAAATATATCAATTATAATTCTATCGTAATTTTCATCACTAGAACATTCCATTAAGTAATTACTATCAGATAACAATGCATTATGTAAATTCGGTAACCTTTTTTTAGATTGAAGACAATTAATGCGAGCGTAGATAATGTAGGATATCGTGTCAAGTGGAAGTTTAGGATAAGGGTGCCCGACCCAAAGTAGTTGGGATTAAGGCGAGAAAAAGAAGAAAAAAATGTAAAAAATTATGGATTTGCAAAATTAGATGTGTAATTAAACTTGTTTGACATGCACTAATTAATCTAAATATCATTATTCTTTTCCTTCTTATTAGTTATTTACTAATACTTATTTGTAGAGTAAGTTAAGGGTATATTTTTAATACACTTATAAGGAAAAATCATTTATATAAGGATCCTATTTTGTGGGCAAGAATTTATACTTGGATATTCTGTTGATATTTATGAATTTTTTTTTTTGTATAAATATTATACATATCTTGTTATTATATGTTGAAATCCTTATTAATATATTTTCCATGAAATTGTAGAAATGGTGGATTAGATTAGTAATTAAACTTTTTTTGGGATGCACTATTCAGCCTAAACATTATTTGTATTTTGCATTTTAGTAGTATATATTGGTTAATTATATAATATCATGTAAAATATTATACAGGGTGTTCAGTAAGTCAGGAAACGGATTTTTATTATAGTCATTGTTAGTAACAATTTACCTGTTTCCTTACTAAATAGCCTGTATATATACAGCGCTGATGGCCCAGTACTCACTGACAATTTCAATAACTTTTGATCCTGTTAAAATTTGTTGCTTATTTTTTTTTTAATATTTAATACACTTATGTATATTATGTACATATTACTAATTATGTAATAAATATCATTTTTATAATTAAATAAAAAAATTACGAGAAATGTTTAAACAAATTCAAAATAGCCATTTTTTAGAATAAATTTTAAGAAATAATTTAGTGAAAAAATTTCTCATTAATGTTTTGTTGTTGATTTTCTGTAACATTTTCAATTTTGTAAAAATTTGAGTTTGTCTGTATTTATTCTGCAGTATTAAACGTTGGCTATATTTTATTAAAAAGGACAGAAGTAAACACAATCTTTTGTGTTTAAATATAATAAGTGTATGGATTTTTCCATGAAATTTATTAACGTTCTAATGATCGGCTTTAATTCAAAAAAAAACCCGAACAAAACCTATAATTTAAAAAGTAGTTTTATTATTTTATTTTTATATAAAAGCCAATTTAGGATAACAAAATGTTTCTTACTGTGTCTAAAATTAGAATTTTTAGTAGCATTAAAAAATTTTGTAATATATAAATTAATTTCATTTTTATTAATTAATTTTTATTATATATTATTTGTAATTGATTGACGGGTAAAACTTTTATATAGTTTAATGGATAATTTTCGTGAATTATTTTTCTCAATTATTTTTTGGTAAATTGGATAATTGAGGAAATAATTTTAATATTATATATGGCTTAACAAAACTGCAAGCATATAAAACAATATTTGAAGATTTCAGTGAAAAATAAAAGACAAGTATATTATAATGATACTTTACTATACAGGTATTTTTTAATTCAAATAATTTTTTCCAGAGATAAAATACTGTGATACTGAATGATACACATTTATTTTTATTTTTATGCTATCATCATTCCATTTATTGTATATTTATATTACTGTATTATTATTTAAAAGTACAGAGTAATTCTTTTAACATGGTTATTCAATTTCTCTTAAATTAATCATTTTTTTGTAAATTATATTTACATTATCCCAACTCTCTCTTCTCTCCTTGCACTAATCTATTACATCAATTTAAAAAAAATCTATTTAGAAATAAAACCATTCTAACCTTTGTGCCTCTCACAAACAAACAAAAAATGCTATATTCCTAAAACTGTGAAAAATTATTCAAGACAAGTATACCAACAAAGCAAAAAAAAAAAATCTAATATCGATTGTACATAACTTGAGAAACACCTAATTTTTTTAACAGATCTCGTTGTAATAATGATAACATTTTCACCTAGTGGACGTTGTTCGGAAATAGACAAAATTTTGAATTTTAATATTTAATTAAACTAGTTAAGTTTAATTAATTAAAGTTTAACTAATTATTTCTCTTTATAAATATACGCAATATGCACTTTATTATTCATTTTTTTTTTTAATGATTAAATTATCGATATTCTTACTACTTTAAATTTTAACTTTATATTTAACAATATATCTGATAAAGAAGAAGTCTGTATTTTATGAGTGACAAACATTTTTTTTAATAAATATGTACAACAAACATTTATAAAGATTGTTTTATATTTTCGTCAATTTTTAAGAAAATTTGATTACTATTCATTAGTTGAGAAAAAGTATATTCTTTATCATTGCCTTTAATTTTGATGTCAAAATATTCAGTTTTATTTATATCTTCTATATAAAATTTATACTTCTTTGTTGATGTTTCAAAACCAAACTCACAACCTAAAGTATGGTCATAATCATTGCATCCTCCTGTTACTTTTACAATTATATTTAAATTATTGATATAAAGTATTAATCCAATTATCTTGCATTTAAAATCATTATTTTCATTACACAACTTTTGTTTTTCTGAAAAAAGACCGTGCACAATTATTAATTAAGTTTTATATTATGATTTGTTTGGGTGGAGGGGGGATGTTCGCGGCCTCTAAGACCATTCCATCATATATCTAGCTTTCCATCCATCTCGGTCTTTCAATGGGTCTTTTTTATATTATGATGTAACATATTTTGTAATAAAATAGGGTTTTTTTCTGTGCAGTATATACACAAGAATATTTTTCACTATCCCATAAAACAAAAAAACTGTATCTCCACACTATATTATTTGCGACATTGGAGATATGGTAAAAAAATTATATTTAATTTAAATACAGCGATAGAGAAGGTTTTTGATAAAGTGGATTGGAAAATCTTATTCAAGATATTAAGAGAAAAAGGAATTGATTGGATAGATAGACGGCTCATATTCAATTTATATAAAAACCAAACAACAGAAATAAATGTAAAAGAAGCAAGAATAAGGATAGGAGTAGACAAGGATGCCTCTTGTCGTTTTATCTATTCAATCTTTTTATAAATAGAATGAAATCCAAGATCAATGAAGTGAAAATAAATGGTCAACTTATACACTGTATTCACTTTGCAGATAACATTGTTATCTTAGCAGAGTCTCAACATGACATAAATAATATGCTAAAAATTCTTATAAATTTTTTGATAAATTTAAAATGAAAATAAATTCAATGAAAACCAAAACAATGCTTATAAATAATGTACTCAAATCTAAATCTTAATATACAAATATACAATACACAATTACAAGTCCAAGAATTCTGTTACCTTAGAAGTATCATAGCTTCCAATAACATATCAACACCAGACATTAGGAGAAGAATATCATTGGCAAAACAAGCATTCCAAAACAAGAATCAGCTTCTCACCAATAAACATCTGAGTATTGGCATACGTAAAAGATTCATTAAAACATTTGTCTGGACTGTGCTTTCATATGACAGCGAAACAAGGAGAATTGACAAAAAATACAGAAGCAAACTAGAAGTATTAGAGTTAGGGATATGGAGAAAGATATCAAAGACAAAAAGGATAGAAATGAGCAAGTGCTAGAAGAAGTACGAGAAGAAAGTCAGTTACTAATGAAGGCGATTGAATTAAGAAAAATAAAGTTAATCAGAAACATTATCCGACACAATAACTTTATAATCAACATCTTCGAAGGAAAAATAACAGGGGAGAAACCAAGAGGACACCGAAGGAAACAATATTTTGGAAATATTCTGGAACTCATGAACTGTACGTCTTTTGTTTCACTGAAGAATTTAGCGTCAAACAAAGAGGAGTGGCTTCAACAACAAGGCATTGCCTTTAATAGACGATTATGATGATCTCTAAAACTTGAAATTTAAATTACATAAATTTTATCTCGGATATAATGTAGGAAATAAGATTTTTATCTTAGTACACAATATTTATCTTGTGTCAACTATAGTTTTCATTTATCCATATACCCCTTTCTACCATTACCCCGGCTAATCAATGTTCTACTGTAGAAATGTAATATTTATTTGAGTTAATATTACTTACTATATTTTTCAAGTTGCATCAAAGATATGGCGAAAGATTTTATTATATTTTCTCTATTTTGTTTTGCATCATTATATTTGTATTTACTGCCAAAAAAAACTATATTTTTTTTTTAATTTATAAATTAAATTATAAATAATTTATTTAGTTTATAATTATGTAGAATTACCAATTAGTATTTTTAAATAGAGTAATTATATTAATTAAAGTATCATAAATTGAAATTTTAGTACTATTTTGTCATACTATTTCAACTTGATTAATGTTTTATAGTAAAAAATCAAACAATTTTTATTGTTTCATTAATAACTATTTATTATCAATTACTATTATTATTTCATAATTATGGATTTAATAAAAATAATAATTGTATTTCATTCATATAAAATAAAAGATTCCTCATATATTTTTTTTAATTATGAAATGTACTAATTTAACAGCTTTGTATTCATACATTGAGTCAAGTAAATATTTGGAAATCGTCTAGATAAAATAGATTTCCTGTTAATTTTTCATAGTCTTGCAAACCTAAGTATGTTTCAAACATTTTTCTAATGTTGTAGACCGCACTTACAGGTCTGTAAGATAAAGACAATTCCAGAGAAAAATTAACTAAAAATGTCTGAATATTTAGTTGACTCACTATTCGAGTACAATATGTAACTTACCATTTTTTTTGGTTTGTATTCAAAAATTTCATCAGCTAAATAGAAATTTTTTAATAATCATAAAATAAATAACAATTTCGCTAAATATTTAGAAAAGAATACATTTTTCAAACTCTAATATTATAAAATAGGAATATTGTGTACCTAAAATATAAAATTGTGCAATGAGAAGTGCTCAGCATTGAGCACTATTTACTCCTTCTGTACACAGAAAGAGTAAATAGTGAATTAAGCAAATTAAGTGCAGACTTCCAATATTATACAGAAACTTTATACTCAAACATTTTAACTTAGTTCACTACAAATAATATACTAGACTTTTTTATTTTGGTACGATGATATATATAAGGTGCAAAGTAGCCCTAATTTAAAAAGTATAATATTTTTCATTTCTTTATATTATTTTTTATAATCAATTATTATAATATTATTTTAAAAAAATAATGTAAACATAAAATTAAAAATATTTTTGCTTGATTTAATTATATTAATAAACATTTAGAGTGGAAATAATTTTACTTTTAAATGGTAATATTGTTTGACGCAATAGATTTTCTTGGATCTTTATTAAATTATAAACCGTTTCTAAAATCAAATTACATAACATTATTCGGTAAATCTTAAAAGGTATGATATTGTTAGACAAATAAATTTTATTTTACAATTTAAAAAAAGAATAACATTACATATGATAACGAATGTAACCCCTAATAATACATACTTATATACAAATTATATTTTTCTTCTTTTTTCTTTATATCTTAAAATTGTATAGTAAAAACAAATTATTATTTACTTTAAATTGTTATTATTACTTTTATTACATTATATATTAAATATGAGTCATAATTTATGACTATTATTTATCATAATTTCGAAGTAGATAACTAACAATTATCTTCTTCTTCTTCGCCTTTATCCACTAATTTGGGTCAGCTGCCCTTATCCTAAACTTCCACTTCCACACATTCTCTCAACATCTACATATACATTATCTGTCGTCATATAGCATTCTATAACATCCCTCCATCTATTTTTTTGTGTTCCTCTATCTCTTCTTCCTTCAACATTCATTTCTATAACTGTTATTACCAGCTTCCGATTCCTCTCTTCCCTCATAACATAACCAAACCATCCAAGTCTATTTTCTCTCGTCTTATTTACAACTGACGCTAAGCCTATACTGCCTCTTTTATGTTTGTTCTTTATCCTATCTTCTCTAGTCGCTTCACTCATCCATCAATGCATTCTTATCGCTGCTACACTCATTTTTGCAATTGTTAATTTTTCTAGTGTAAGCACTATCCTTACTTTTCCTATGCATTTCCCTTCCCTATTCTTTCCTTCTTAAAACCAATCTAGTTCTTTGTTACTGATGTTTTCTTATTAATATTTTGTCTATTATCGTTTCCCAAATCTTTATACAATGGCTCGTAAGATTTATGCCTCTATAATTTCCACAATCCTGTATGACTATTTTGCCTTTAAATATCGGCACCACAATACTATTCCATTCTTTTGGCATTTTTCCTTTCTAATGGAATTTTTATTTAAAAGATTTTATCACACTTCTACTGGCACTTCATCTAGTTCCCCTGTTTTGTTTTTTCTCATTGATGCTACACCTTCTCATACCTTTTTCTCACTTGTTAAATCTACCAGTCTCTTTTTCCACCAGATATCCTCTAATGTCCCTTTAGGATATTCTTCATTCAATAGTTTTTTTAAAATACTCTTTCTACCTTCTTTACATTATCATTGCTCGTTAGCACCTTCTTATGATCTTTTTTTATACACGTTATATTGTGATATTTAGAGCGTTATAGTAAACAATTATAGATATCTAAATAAAATTATTTGTTACAGATGAAATTTTTATATTATTTGTAATATTTATTATTTTTTTGCGTTTAACATGATAATAATGTGATTATCGTCGTAAATATACAAAAAGTGATAAAATTATTTATTTTTTGAAAAACTTTAAACAAAAAATAAAGGTCATTTTTACATTTTTAATAGTGAAATCGTACAGATATCAAACTTTTTTAGTTATTAAAAGTATTTTTAAATTTAAATTACCGCAATTTTAATAAATAATAGTAGTTTTATTATGCAACTTTACGTTTAAATATTACGAAATAATAAAGGAACATATAAGTAATAATACCTATATGTTACTTTATGAAAAAGATATTGAAAGATAATTTATTTTATAAGATTATGACAGGTGCATTGTAAGTCTAGAGAAAAATTTATAATTTAACTTATTTGTATGACGTTATAAATAATACTTAATTATAATATTATATACCTGGAATGATATCAATTTCTGACAAAACTGCAATAATTCAATAATTTAATTATAGCTTTGTTTTGGGGCTGGGAGCACTAAAATATATGTGCGTACTCGAATCGGTTTATGATCACATTGTGTAGTGTGTGTAATGTTGTGCAAGTAAAATCACTGGATTTCACCTGCACAAAACCAATATTTTATGTCGTAAGAAAAAATGTGAAAGTGTGTAGGGCCTTAAAAACTAATTAAATAAAATTCAATCTCAATAATAATTAATACTAAGTAATATTTTATGCTTATTCAAATATAAAAGTACAGTTTACAGAATTAGAAAATTTAATTTATGACCCTCCTGGTCAAACAGTAATAAAAATCTTTGTAAATTAAGTTTTTTTATAATGAGCACTAAGTATTATAAGGTTATTTACAATATTTATTAGTATTATTTATTTTGATTAACAATAATTTATAAAGATAATTTATGTGAATGATTATTTATACACAAATAATATTTTTATTAGAACTCAAACGAATTGTGTGCTGCGCTTTATGCGCGAAGCTGGCACCTAAAAACTAATCCGAGTCACATGGCCGGACTACACTCATTTTCTCCACCTTCTTCCTTCTTCAATAAAATATCACAGCGAAGAAAAATGTTATTGAGCTAATTAGTAGGTGTACAATAAATGGTCCTTGCAATTAGTGCAAAGAAATAACAAAAAAAAACTATGTGCATTTTTGTAAACTTAAAATTTGCCGCAACAGCCACTTTTATACAACAAAATGTCTATATCAAAAAATTATAATAAAAAGTGTGGTGTATTCATGTGTAACAGCTGATCCGCCCGATGGTGGTAATATTTACTACTTCGTGTATAGTAGGCAATGAGTGCCCGTGAGACCATAAACCAGTTCGAGCACGCATATTAACCGCATATAATAATTATTACATTTTTTAATGAAAAGAAGATATACCGGTAAATTTATATAAAATATTCTTAATGTATTCTAATTTATTATCTTTTAATAAAAGGATTTTTCGCTTTCTAACATTTAAATTTTTAGAAATCTAGATTTTTACATAATTTAAATACTTTTTTAGTAATTACAATCATAATATGTTGCAAAATAAAATTTCGTTATTTTTTGGTAAATATGTATACTACTATTTGTTAAAGAAATAATATTACACGGGAGTTCTTTGAACATTATTTCATATGTCCACGAGTAACATATTAAGTAAATTAGTAACGATACATTCAATCAAATGCGTTATTAATAATTATTTAGTTTTAGTTTACCTGTATTTGAATTAATAGTTTGTAGATCTATAGAAATACAAAAATATAACTATTGCGACTTATTTTACTTATTATTTTAGAAATAAGGAGATGACATGACCGTTTTATTGATTGTTTTTCAGCTATATTTTAATATCAATAAGTATTAAATTTTTAGGTTGCTCAAACATATACAGAGTGTTCAGTAAGTCAGGAAACGGGTTTCTATTGTTCTCATTGTTTGTAACAATTGACCTGTTTCCTTACTTACTGAACACTCTGTATAACCAATCTTATATCAAATAATAATTAAGTTTTGGTAAATTAATTTCCAAAAGATTACGAATTGATTTAAATTAGTTGATTCTGATCATTTGGATATGATGGTGTCACGTTACCATTATTGAGAAAATTATTATAATAAAATACAGACAGCACATCCGCTTCCTGAGACTGATGAATTAACAAATAATATTTATTGCCAAATTGGTAATAGTTCAAATTATTATAAAAACCCAAAATACCTGACCATCTTGGTCAGTCGACCCCAGTGCCTTGTGTCATTCATCAGTCTCAGTACTCGGTTGTCGCTGTCCGGCTTACTGCTTAAAGTAAAGTCTTTGTTTTTTTCCTTTTTAACCTATCTACTCTCTTCCACAACATTTCAGAGTACTTGTGTCTTGCACTTCGTCTGCACCTCATACCTAGGTGTTACCCTTATTCCCTTCCTATAACAACAGGCTTTTGACACCCACAGCTAACCCGGAGTGTCAGCCGAGTAATGTGACTGCTGTACGACAACACGCATGTGAATACCTAAACAGCAGGCACCACATCCTCATCTTCTTTTTCGTACACATTACATTTACACTTCCCTCTTATTGTGTTACGACAAAGATCAGGATTCGGTTTTTTGGTAGAAACTCTGCTAAGTATATTCGAGAAAAAGTGTTGAAGCTATTTGATATCTTAATAATTATATCGATTATTACTTAATATTGAAATCAAATAAATATAATTCTATACTAATTAATAATTCTACTCAAAAATATAAATAATAAATGATAAATATTAACATTTTGTCAAAAAAACTTACTCGGTAATAAGAGATGATTTACTAGTAGTTCTAAAAAAAATTATAAGCCACCAGTGATTAAGTTTTTATAACTTTTTAAAAAATATGTTTATCAAAAATCGTCACGGAAAATATGTTGATAATATTGTCACATTTAAGATGATATATTGATATTATCTCTCTACTACCACTCAATCCTCTAGAATCGTTGCTCTCTCGAGACATGTTTAATGTGCTAAATAATTACTTATGAAAGATTTAAACAAATAAAATAATTTAAATGTGAATACAATTTATTTTCACGTTAACATTTAAAAGTAAATAATAATAATTTTCAATACTATAGCTAAATACAATAACAATATCCTTACCAAAAGAGAATATTTTAAAACTCATAAGTAATTTATCCAAAAAAAGAAAATTATCTATTAATAAAAAAAATGTATTATTAATCATTAAATATTATCTTAAACGAATCAAGTTTTAGCTATACATACAGAGTTTATTTTAATTTAAAAGAAAAAGTAAAAGGAGTGATCGAAGTTTGAAAGTTTCAAGTATCAATTTAAATGTTTTATAACGATGACAAGTTTTAGAAATTAATGGTGTATAAAACTAAAAGTGATTGAATAAAGTAGAAAGAAGCATATAGATTTTGAATAACAAGAGGAATTCAGTCGGATTAGAAGGTAAATTTTATAAAATGATGTTTGGGGATGTTTGATGAGATTAAAGAGAATGAGATATGAAATGCAAAGAATATATTGTGATAGTTGAGTCGTTTTTGAACAGACAAGAGTAAGGTAGTTGAACCATTTCAAAATGTCTATATGAAAAGAAATAAGAAAGCAGGAAATCAAAAAAGTAATTTATTGAAGTTATNTGAAAAGAAATAAGAAAGCAGGAAATCAAAAAAGAAATTTATTGAAGTTATCGATGAGAGTGATTGGTACACTCATATTTAAGATGTATAAGAGGCATCAAACCATGTATTCCGGAAGAGAAAAACTTAAATGGCTGATCCCAAATAGTTGAAAAAAGTCAAGGAAAGAGAAAACCAAGCTTTTTTTAAATTTAAAAATTAAATTAAGTTTAGCACCTCCTTTATAAATGACCGACAATAAAATATTATCTAAAAAACAAAAATAATATTTTTTTCAACGTTAGTTTACATTTTAGCACATTCATTTTTTCCTTTTTTTAATAATTTTTCTTTACCATTAAGAATTAAAGTAATGTGTTTCAAATATTGGTCAATAGATTTTAAATTAAATATTCATTGAGGTTAACAATGTTTGTAATGAATAAAAATAGAAGTTTCAAGAATATCCGAGAAACTTCTAGAATAATTTTTGTTGATCACATAAATAATTATCAATTTTAATTACTTTTCTGGCCAACAATTATTTTATTACTTTTTATAAATATATTGCTCACTCGGAGTGATATTTACATTAATGCCAATCCTTTTAATTACCATAAGCTTGTTTGTGTCGCCGAACAGATGACAGGATAAAATATTTAAACTTTTAAGAAAATTAGCCTCTCTTTATCACCTTACACCCAAGTTTAATATAAAAGAGCAAGGGAACCCAACCTAACTAAAACTCCCTCGTATTTCATTCCCAACCTTATCCTACCACTATTACATCCTCCTTCTATTTAGTATCCCTTCACTTAATACATTTCTTTTTATTATTTATTGCTACACCAATTACTAACTTGTCCAAGTTATTTGTCTTGCTGCTCCTATAAAAAATAATTTAGACATAAAAATTCTTTAATAACTTATAATTTTATTCACTAATTGAACCAATACTATATTCATTAATTTAGTGATTAGATTTAGATATCAAAATATTTTAAAGATTTCATTTTTCATTTTGTGATTATACAAAATGTTTAACATGTTCAGACACGATTGAAAGGTTAATAATAACTTTAAAATAAATACTTATTGAATTATAAACATTTCAATACATTAATTGGTAACGGGGGTGAGTGCAACTCGTACTGATGTATATTTATAATATATAGTCACTAAAAACTAGTATAATCCAGCGAGATGGGGTGGAGTTACTACTTATTGTTTTTAATAATGATATCTCACCGGGGCACGAGTACAATGGTTTATAAGAATAAAGAAAATTATAGAAAAATATTTAAAATATCATGTAGTGATATTTATTTATTAATATAAAAATTATACTAAAAAATATGACAATTCTTTAGTATAAATAATGACACGAGCGAATAAAAATTAAAAATTATTTTCTCATTAGAAAAAAATAATAAAAATTATTCTTTTAACGTAGTCTAAAATTGTAAAAATGTATTTAAAAAAAATAATTTAGAATAATCGCTGGATCAAAATTTTTTAAAATATTTGAACATTGTGGTACATTCTGTATAGTCGAAATTTTACCTTCAAGACTTTCAAGTTTTACTTCGATACAATTGCAATATGGAACAATTATATAACAAAACAACTGTGAGACAAATAAGTTATTCCACAATAGTGGCATTGTTTTTTATCTGTATGTAACAAAAAATAATTTTCGGTAAACTGATATTATAATTTTTTTTTTACATATATGGTTCTGAATCATTGGTGTATTAATAATCAAAACGGCCTCTTACGTATAAAAAGTATCTGAACCATGAATATATTACAAATAAATTAATAATTAGTATTTTCTTTAATCAAATAGGCTAAAGTGTAGTAATAGCAAATGTATTTTTAGCTTCAATGCGAAACTGAGAAGGTATTAATTATACATTGATGTGATTTTTTTTATTTATTTTTTTTTATGTCTGTGAACGCTTAATCTCAGCTCTCGATACACCGATTTTGATAAACAATACGTCAAATGACCACAAATTTTATCTAGTCAAATACATTACCCTCAAAAATTGAAAAAATTTCTTTTGTTCCTCGTAAGTAGGGCAAATCCCCCAAAAAATAACAATTTTAAAAATCGCAAATTTTTCACATTTTTTCAATATTTTTTTCTTAAAACTGCCATAACTTTTTTAAAAATAAACAAATCAATATAATTTTTTTTTTCTTAGAGATACCTTACGTGTTTAATAATCACTTGGTATATTTTATGTGAAAAATTAACTCTTTGTCTGCCCACAGGGGGGTTTCAAAATGGCAACTTTTTCAAATTAACTTTTCAAAATGTTCCAGATTATTATTATTAGTATTGAAATACTAACACTTTTATATATATTTTAAATTAAAACTTATAGAATATACTATAATTTGAAAAAAAAAAATTGGCCTATGGACTTCGTGGTGAAATTAACTGCCGCATTCAAAAATATGCTATTTTTGTGAACAAATTCTTGATATTATATTTTACATTTTTTAACTTTATATTACTATAACTTTTTAAAAGTTCTATGAATCAATACTATTCTTTTATGATAAAAACTTTATATATACCTCTTTCATTCAAAATACTTTTTTTTTTTAATCGAACCATTTCACTTTATATAAAGGAGGTTAAAACCTTTAAATATGCGTTAAAAAAGTAGAACTTATTCAACTTAACTTTAGGTTTGATATGTTAATAGGTTTCAACTACAAAATTAAATAATTTTACTTTGTAGTATATTATTTTTTACTCTATTTATGTGTTACTACCAGTCATTATTATTTCACATGTTTTGGTAACATGTTGCTGTAGAAATCATTTCAAAAAAAAAAATTATTTTTAGTTTCACCTGACTTTAACAATAGATTTTTCCAATTATAATAAAATTTTATAATACGCTCAATTGATTATATTTTTTTAATAATTTATTGTTTGGTGTTTTTATTAAATCATTAAAATTAATTTAAGTTCTGCATATTTCAATTGTAGAACCTTTTTAAACACCAAAAGTTACTAAAAGAATTACTAAGTGAGCTATTCCGATAAAAATGCAAAAAAATATTGAGTTTTTCTGATAAATTTACTGTAAATAGTAATTATAAAAATCCTGACTGCATATTTATCTTAACAATACAATTTTTGGTAAACTCATAAAATTTGTGATAGAAAAAGTTTATTATGAAAGCTACTCACGTAAGGGAAAAAATTTGTCAATCCAAAATAAAATATACTAAATATTCTAAGAAAAAAAATTAATATATAATTACTCCGTTTGTTTACATTTACCATACTTCACCATAAGTCTAAGATTTTTTATTTCTAGATGTTTAAAGGTTAATATATCACAACTTTTGAGTATCCAAAATTTTTAATAAATTTTAGTACCTTGATAAATTTAAAGAAGATTTTTACCATACTTCTTTAAACATATTAATAAACTGTAGGTCCGTAGATATTGGATAATCGACCCTAAAACATATTTTAGTACTTCTCCTAAGTTTATCATATGTATTTTGTATTGCTTAATTTAAAAACATTTTGTATTGTTTAATGTATTTAATACCTCTGTGCATGATTATATTTGTATTAAAGTGTTTATATGTTTTTAACAGTTATTATGTTTCCCGTTCTGATTTTAATAAAAGATTTAAACAGCTAATATAAGTACAATTTCTAAGAGTTATTTTAAAACTGATATAGATAATTATTTATTAATTATAATGTTAATTACCTCAATAGAGAGAGCTTCAGTTTCTAAAATTTTTGATTATAAAAATAAATGTCAATTAAAAAAATTAATTAATTTTCTTACTACTTAATAACCAATAGACAAAGTATTTATATTTTACCGTTTGAGTTAAATAACTAAGTAAATACTAGTATAAAACTGACACATATTTTGATAAAAACATTGTGAAAATTCAAAACACATTTATTGCTATATACATTTTTCTTAGCTAATATGCATATTAACATAAAAATTTTACATAGAATTACGTATGAGTCACTTTGTTTTGTAACATTTAACAAATTCTTCGTTTCTGAGACTTTTTTATGGAAATGAAAATAATCTAAATAAATTAAGATTGTATGATTACTAGTAATTGAAAAACATTGAACTTTTTCAAAATTAATTCTTTGAATTTCTTGAAATCATNCATTTTTGTTAGCTAATATGCATATTAACATAAAATTTTTACATAGAATTACGTATGAGTCATTTTGTTTTGTAACATTTAACAAATTCTTCGTTTCTGAGACTTTTTTTTGGAAATGAAAATGATCTACATAAATTAAGATTGTATGATTACTAGTAATTGAAAAACATTGAACTTTTTCAAAATTAATTCTTTGAATTTCTTGAAATCATAATGTGAAATTTTATAAAAAATGATCAGTTTTACATCCTTCTATTTACCGAACTTAACATACTACAGAGAATTATGGCTTTCTTTCATAAGTTAGGGAGTTAAGGTTTAATTTGAGTTTTAAATAAAATATAATATAATATATGAAAGATAGTCATTTGACAGTTTTAATCTTTCTGTGGGTTATTGTAAGAACATATTAAGGCACATTAGCAAATGTTATATTGTTATGTTATAATGCTATAATAATGATATATTTTAAAAAGCGTGTATTGGTCAAAAATTGATGGATTTGTTTATTCCCATATCTGGAAGCCATAAGATCAATCTGATTTAATTACCACTTGATAAATAAATAATTTTTTTAAGACGTAATTAAATTTTAGTAAGGAACGGAAAAGATGAAGACTGCTTGTGGCAATTTTAAAATTACCAATTTAATAAATATTATCATTTTTACTAATCTAAGATATTTTAATACATAATTAATCACTTGTTCAAAGAAAAGAAATCTTTTATTTACGCATCTGTTACAATGATATTATGCCTCTTTTTATTAAGTTTTAATAAAAAAATTAATTATGGTAAAAATGCGTTTTATTTAAAAAATATATATCAAATGATAGGTAAGGACATTATGCATCTATTAAAAAAAAATTTATATTGATTTGTTCATTTTTTAAAAAGTTATGGCAGTTTTAAGCAAAAGAAAATTGAAAAAATGTCGNTGCCTCTTTTTATTAAGTTTTAATAAAAAAATTAATTATGGTAAAAATGCGTTTTATTTAAAAAAATATATATCAAATGATAGGTAAGGACATTATGCATCTATTAAAAAAAAATGTATATTGATTTGTTCATTTTTTAAAAAGTTATGGCAGTTTTAAGTAAAAGAAAATTGAAAAAATGTCGAAACTTAACAATTTTTAATTTTGTAATTTTTTTGGAGGTTTCCTCCATTTACGGAAAACGAGAAAAATTTTTTCAATTTTTGAGGGTAATGTCTTCGACTAGATACGATTTTTGATCTTTTGACGTATCGTTGAGATAAATCGGTACAGTGAGAGCTGAGAAAAAGTGGTAACAGACACAAAAAAAAAAATTTAAAAAAAAAGACATCATAGTAAAACCAATACCTTCTCAGCTTCGCATCGAAGCTAACGTATCGGCTACTAAATAGTTAAACCATAAGAGACAATTAGTAAAAATGTAGGTTTTTTATATGGCTTACAAATTTCAAATATACAAAAATTATGAAGTACATAGTTTTCATGAAAAAAATCATATGTTTATTATAATAACTATAATATGTCTAAATATAACACATTAAAATTATACTACAAAATAAGTAAACTTATACAAATAATTTTGAATAAAATAAACTCATTTGTTTTTCGATTTCAATAGTTCATTTTTAATTAATTGAGAAAGATTATATTTATTATCATCTTCTTGAACAACGATGTCTAAATTTTTATTATTTTCAAAATCTATAACATTATATGTAATTTCTTTTTCTAATGTATTAAAAACAAACTTGCAACTTAAATTGTTATCATTTTCATTGCATCCGCTCAATTTTTTAACAACTACATTTTTTTCTTTAGTGTAAAGTATTAATCCTACTAAATTGCATTTTGTATAATCTCCTTCAACGCACAATTTTTTTTTTTCTGAAATAATAATTTTTTTATTTACTTATTACTAAACAAAACAGGGCTTCACTGGTAAACATCATGTGGAAGCCTAAAATTAGGTATAATTCTAAAATAGTATTATCTAAATTCGTTGCTAATGAAATTTAAAATTCTCTAAATAATATAACAATAAAAATTTTATATAAAATTATTAGTACTATTCAAATTTTTAAAGCATATTTAAATATTAATTTTTTATAGGTTAAAATGTAAAAAAATTTTTATTATATGAAAATGACTCCAGAGAAATATTATTTAAAATAATTAATTTTATGATAATCATTCCGGAAACATGCATAAATTACTTAATAAATCATATGGTGCTTCTGCATAAATTTAATAATGTTTTTTATGTTTGAGTTAATTTTATTATTTTATTATTTCCTTTAATAAATTTTTACACATTCATAACTACGCTAATATAATAAAATATACAGGATGATTATTTTAGGGATGTTGTTAGGGTTGTCACTCTCCTTTTCCCGAATGATTATCAATGTTTGAATTTTTAATCGTGATGATTTTTTTTTTTTGCTTATTCGAGTTTTTCTATTAATAGTGATGCAGAGTAAACATTTTTTGGTGATCAAAAAAAAAAAGGTGTTAATCTCCCACCCGAAATTATTTTCTGGTTACACCACTTATTCTTTTAAAGCTATATAATAACAATAATATTTCTAATACTAATAATAGATTTCTTATTATTAATAGTTATATTCGATACTTATCTAATACTGATACTATTAATACTTATCAATAATTATACCTAAAATTCACTATTTAACCACTTATAAATTTATTTAAAAATCATTAACTGTATTTTAAAATAGTACGTACTGTATTTTTCAGTCAAAATTAAATATTTTGCGTAATAATGGATAATGTTTAGTCTATTATTCACTACTTTATTAAAATCAATTTTATAAGTTTGATTCCCTAAAAATATACAAAACAATATTTTATTTTTATAATACTTATAATTATATTTGATAGAGGAGGATATAAGACTTTCAACAGGGATTCTCTAATATAAACTTTATACCAAAATAATTTTTTATTCAATCAACCACATCATTGAGTTTTTTGATCTAACAGACTTTCTAAGTGGGTGTTGTAACTGTTTATTGTTATGATGAACGAGTTCCAAGATGAATCCTATAAAATTCTCGCATTTTCCAATAAATCCACCCTTGCTTAATGAAATACATTAATATAATTTAACCATTTTTACTCGACAGTTCTATAATGTTTGCTTTATAATAAATTTTAATTAAATTATGGCTATATGTTTTATTTTATTTTTTTATAAAAAATGATTAAAAATATAAATCACTGTATCCTTGAATATACGAGACTTGTTCAGAAAATAACGGGAATTTTTTAATTTCGCAGGTTGGGAGAGTCCGATTACTAACATTTTTTTTCGTACACGTGTCTCTGAAGTCTGATATACGAGTGGTATAATTGTTTCCAAGATGGCCGTGAAAACGTTGAAGATAACGAACGTTGCAGCACATCAACAACCGACGAAAATGTGGGAATATTGAAAGAAATGGTTATGAAAGATCGCCGAATCACAATCAGAGAAGTCGCTGATGATGTTAAAATATCGATTGGCTCATGTCATGAAATTTTTTTGAATCATTTAAGTATGATACGCGTAGCAGCAAAATTTGTTCCAAAATTGTTGAATTTTGAATAAAAACACGGCGAATGGAGGTTACTCAGGAGTCACTTAATAAAGTCAACGACGATGCAGAATTACTAAAATGTGTTATAACAGGTGATGAAAAATGGGTTTATCGATGCGATGTCGAAACTTAGGCTCAATCGTCCCAGTGAAGGCATTTTGGATCGCCAAGACCGATAAAGGCTCGACAAGTGCCATCGAACGTGAAGGTTATTCTGACTGCGTCCACGATTCCCCGAGGTTATTTTCAATCGTAAATACGTAATTTTTTAACTTTTAAATATGATTAATAATACATCTTACTTTCTTTGTTATTATTGAAACTTTTTATTACTTCGTCTGAAAATATAAGATAATACATTATATCTAATGTACTATATAATAATTTATAGTGAAAATTAAATTTTGTGGTTGTTGAAGTAGAGAGAATGAGAATGCTTAGATAGATGAGTGGAGTAATTATAAAAGATAAGATAAGGAACGAATATATAGCGTGTACAGCGTATCATCAATGGTGGATAGGATGAGAGAAAATAGACTTAGATGGAGAGAGGAATCGGAGCTAAAAGATCATTTATAGAAATAAATGTTGAAGGAAGAAGAGGTAGATGTTATATATATATATAGCCAACCCAACCATATGAGGACGACTGATGTGAGAAATCGTATTAAGTGGAAGTTTAAGATAAGGGTGGCCGACCCCAAGCAGTTGGATTTAAGGCGAGAAAAAAGAAGAAGACTCTACATGACAACAATTTTTAAAAAAAAATGTTTACCTTCAGAATGTAATAATACTCGACGCAAAAGTCTCTCTTGAATAAATATTGTATTATAAATAGTATCTGAAACAAAATAATATGAACTCTAAGTCGAAAACAAGAAAACTATTAGTACTTATGATTGGAAAATAAAATATTGAACATTTTTTTCTCATTCCTTGTTCTATATATTATATCTTTATAACGGATCGTATTTTAAGACCCAAACTGATGTCTGGTGGGTATAGCTTGTACGTGTATATTTTTCTGAAACATACATTTTCCACTCTGCGTGTTATCCAAAATATACTATCAACCCATCATGATATTTTTAAGAAAAAGGATAAAAAAATTACTTAATTGAAGTTTTGAAAAAAAATTACACACAAATAATGAAAAATACGTGTTTAATATAGTCCAAAACTGTAATAATTATAAAAAAATAAGTAATACAAATTATTTGCCAGTTCATAAGTTATTCGATTTATCAAAACATCAACACTGTATAAATAATGTTTTTTTTAAATGATACAATTAATTTTAATTTATTTAATTAATTTTACTACCAGAAAGTAATATTAGGACAATCATAAGTTCTTCTAAAGCTCAAAGGCATTGCATTTATTAATCAAAGTTTATTATAGCACTTAAAAATATAATTAAGTACATATTATAAAGAGGCCTATGAAAAAAATGTATTATACTCAACTTTTTTTAATAATAAAATTTTTTCAAGGAATATTTACTTATGAATAAGTTTTTTTTGGATTCTCTTAGACGTGATTCTAAAATTTAAATATAATTTTTTAATTTCAGTAAATAAATATCAACCATGTACTATTTTCTTAATGAATAACGTTTAGTTTTATATTAATCATTAAATATTTATCATTTTTAATTAGTCGATAACATTTTCCGTAGTATAGTTTGGTCAGTGAATTATTCAGTCGCCTCTTTAGTGTTAATATTCAACTACTCTGTTTGATGTTAGTTTCCGAATGAGTGACCATAGGCAAACTTTAACAGTAACATGCATCAGTAGGAGGTAACCCTTAAAGGTTCTCTCTGCCATAATGAGATCGCATTAAGTCTACAATCGGTGTAAAAATTCTGTCAAATCATTGTAAGGTTGTAAAGAATAGACAACAAAAAGTTGGCATATTGGTTAACAATTAGACCAGGATTAGTTATCAGCAATTTTTGTTTTTCAAAACCCATAAATTTACTGAATATATTAGTCTAAGAAATATAACTCATAATGACAATATTTTACTAAACAATAATAGAATAGAATATTTACCTTGTATCTTAGAAATATCTGCCAATACTATAGAAATATAAAAAATTAATTATATTTGATTCAGAATAATTAATAAGAGATTATGAGGTATGTATTCTTAAAAAACTTCACTTGAAGTTGTTAAACCAAGAATAAACTTAAGTAAAAATTTAACTATTCAATTTTTTTGGATAATAATTGTTTAATTTTTATTACATATTTTGGTGTAGATAAATCAAATTCATTTTTATGTCCTCTTCAAATGGAGGAATAATTAGCATAAATTCTGTCCCCCAAAAAATTCCATTCTTGGCTAAGTTTACCATTGAAAACTTCATTACATCCAATTACGCGTTAATAATTATAATTTAAATATTTACCTGGATAATTATTAATACTATCCAAAGCTAAAAAGTGATAAAAATTTACAAAACAATTTCAATGTATATGTAATACTTAAATAACTTTATGATAAATAACTTAAAAAATCTAGGTGCACCACATCTAGGTAATATGAATTTATATCTATATAAATCAGTAATTAATTTTTAAAAGAGTTTTGTAGTAATTTCAAAAACGTTAAAATTTTTTTGATATTTATCATGCATTCATTGAAATTTTAATAATGTTAAAATGTTTAAAAATAATCAGATAGATGTGGTATATCTAGGAGAATTTTTGGTAGATTGTTTAAAATGTTATTGCAAAGAAAAAATGAAAATGAAAACAAAAATTGACACAACTTAAGTATATCTTTTTATTTTAGTAGTTATTTTGGCATAAAGGGCAAATTTTTGGGACCGATTTCTTCATCTTTATTAACAATAAATAATAAGCGTTAATTTGATATAAATTTCTAGTATGCAAAAGTTGTTTTCTAAGTCCATATTTCTGAGTTAAAATATTTCATATAAATGGGTTATTACTTTAAGTAAGTTTATTTTTAATTTTAGTTTAATACATTGTGATCGTTAAATAAAAAAAAATACCGCTATAAAATTCAAAAATAGTATACAATTTAATCAACTAAACAGCAATTATTTTTAAGACATTCATACAAATAAATTGCCCCCTCCCATCCATATGTAATAAAAGGGCGGGTACATTTGGCTGACGGTATTTGTAAATACCGTGAGCTAAATTCAACACAGCGAATAAATAACAGTCAACAAAATGTCGTCCAGTATGTCGTCCACGCTGGACAGAGGACATGGTTGACGGACAGTATTTTTGTTTAAATGGCGATAATCGACGGTTAGGCTGTACTCATCATTACTTTTAGGCACGAGTAGAACGGATAAAGAATTAGGTTAGTTAGGGTCCTCCACAATTCCATGATCGCGCCAAGACTAAACGAATATCTTCGCGCTGGCCGCTAGTAGTACGATACGGTTTTGCAGCAAATTACTTGGCGTTATCCTTTAATACAATATCCATTTGTTTGTGCATCAAAGTTCTCTCAATGAAAGCACAAAATACTCACAAAATTCATTTGATATTGATAAAAGTTCAATCTGTTCGTCCGAATTAGGAGCATCCGGACGTCGAATGTCGTCGACCGTCAGACGGAGCACACAGGGCGACGTCTTCACTATAGAGGCGGGTAATTAACTGGACGCACCAACAACTGGTTAGTTGCTACGAATAATTAAAAAGATTGCATATTGAGACGTCTTACCGATAACGGAAGTAATGGCATACGCGCCAAAACCACAAATTAGAGACGTGTCGGCCATCCAAATTACACTGTGCTGTGTTGCTGAGCTTTCACGGAAAACTGTCATTGATCTTGACACTTTTATCGTGAATAATGTTATCAGTCGTTACTGGTTCCAACCCAACCGTGTTTACATTATTCAGCTATGCGTTTAGCGCTGTCGACGGACTGGCGGTAGTGCCTACATAATTTCTAATTTACGGTACCATGTGTTTTAGCGACGGCTTTCTGGACAATCACTGGCAATTCTAGTTAAATGCAGGTTACTACGATTAACTGCCGGCCGTCTTCTGATGAACGGGATCGTACGACGGCGTATTTGTAGGTCACTAGTTAGTACTAGAACGTCATAAAGGCCGATGTACCGTGAAACGGTTGGATCAACGCACTGGAACAATTGCACGTCTTTTAGAAGATGGTAAGTACCATGATTTGCTGTTATCAGTGCTCTAGCCAAGTCTCTACGCACGAGACCAAATATAATGTTCCCTTTGATATCAAAAATCCTAAGTTCAGAGACTCACGAACTTTCACATGACAATATGCGACAACGGATTCTTCTTTCAGCTGAACGTATTTTTGCATATTTGTGATGCGTAAGAGTGTTCTTCAATAAAAATGTTGAGTACGCCGATTCAAAGCATTTCCAATCGATTAAATCTCATTTGAAATGTGAGCATTTTCAACATATCTAAAGCGGACCATTTGTGTAGTGCAGGCGTAGAATCCAAATTGTCTAACCAATTTGTAGATAGACAACCGTCTCCTGATTTCGCATTAAAATCGTCGGTTGTTTGAGCGATATCGGGCAAAGGATGGAACGAAGTTTGAGCACCGATAGTTGTGCGATCAACCAGCCGTTCTAATGTACACTCCATGGTGGTCAATATTCGGCATTTCGCCGTTCACAATGGCAAGTAGGCAACTACAATATGAAGACTGTAATAAAAAATAATTGACAGTAAAACCGGACACGGTTTTTAAGGGTTTCAGGTTTTGGAAACTTTTTAATTTAGGTTTAGTCCCTAATCCCAACTTATACAAAAAATAAGCTTATCATTATTTAAAAAAGATTAAGGCAGATAATTAAATAAATTAGATAAACTAAAAACTTACTTGGCAGAAAAAAATGGCTTATTAGCAGTTCTAAAAAAAGACGCACTACATTAAATATCAAAATCGTCAAGTGTTCAAAAAAATTAAACCACGTAATAAACGATTTCTATAGCTATTTTTAAAAAAATAACCGCACATAGAAAATTTAATTTTATTAAAATTCGTACTCTTCATGAGAACAAAAGAATTATATCTTATACATAATATCAATAAAAGTATAGCAAGGTCAATATGTATTATTATTAGATACACTTAGATAATTTAGAATAATAAGTAAATATCATTACATTATTCAAATGTAGTAAATAGGCAATGCAATGAATTTTTTTATTTAGATTGATAAAAAAATACTCAATGTTAAAATGAACATAAACAAAAAAATAAATCATATAAATTTATTAACTATAGCAAATACATTAAAGTGAAGTCAAATGATATATAATTAAAGATTATAAAACTCTTATTTACAGTTCAAAACAGTTAAATAGTTTGATTTTTAATAGTTCTATAAGAAAAATAAAAATTTTACTATTGAACTTTGTTAATTGTTTTTACGAATAATATGAAATCGTTCACTATTGCAGCATTATCGTTCATCTTGTTCGATATATTTTTATTGACATCGTGTAACAATGAGATGGCTATTAAAATATTGAATTCATTTCTTAAGTCAGAAAAATGGACATTCGAACACGCATACAAGTGGTATGATGAAGATATTAATACATCCTTTGTAACAGAAAATTTACTCATAACTGGTTCTTCCAGTAAGAATATTGCTACCGAAGGAAATGTAAAAAACCAAATAACAGTAGGTTCGCAATTGTTAACTTATGAGTACGCAAAAATTGTACACTGGATTAGTAGCATGTTAACTATTATGATCAAAGAATGGTACAATGGTGAGAATTATAACGAGACTCAAAATGAACGTTTGAAAAAATTTATATTAACTTTTGAAGAAGTAAAGAGGGTATTAACACTCTTTCATAGCGCATTAGAATTTATGAACAAAATTATACGAAATCATAAAACATCAGTAACGAATGACCTTATTAAAATATTGTCTGAGTTTAAGTCAAGATATAATAAAAAAGAAGTCAAACAAGCGTTAAATTGTGTTAATTTGAAGTTTATATTCATTATATTTGACGGATTGTTAAATAAATATTTAAGTACAGTTTTAAAAAAAATAATATTGCCCTATTGTAAACTTGAAGACGTTTTTAATGATTCTCTTGATTTAATAGTATATAAATTACAGTTTCAGTATGGTGAAATATTAAGTAAAATAGTAGATGAGAAATCCAAAGAAGAATTCACATATTTTGTTTTTTTACATGAAACTATTCTGAATAGTGTCGATAAAATTATTACAATCTATTACACTAATCTTGGATTCAATTATGACGAGAGTAAAAAAGAAAGTAATTATATATTGCTATAAAAATATTAATAAATAACAATTTATGTTTTAAGTGACATTCTGACTGTATCACTTCCAAATTTAAATAAAACACTACATTTTTATTGTATATTTTATGTAATTTTAATTTTTAATTAATATTTTTAATTTTAATTAATACCAAACTAATATGATTATAATATATTACTATGTTAATATAATATTTTCATTACCTGAATACTGCAAATTTTGATACTAATAATTATGATTAAATTAGAAATTAAAAGTTGTTAGAGTTATATAAATATACAATATTCCAAAAATATAGTACTAAATACTTCTATTATCAGCTGTAATATTATATTTATTCATGTGTATGTGTATTTTTATGTACATGTGGTACACATGAATAAATAATGTACAGCGTGTTATAAGAGAAACACTATACTTTAATAGGTATTAAATACTGAAGGTCCAACTATAAGAGTGTTAACTAAATTTCAAACAAAATATGGAAATTATTAATATAAAATATTTTAAAATAAATTCTTATCATCCATCATAGGAATGATAAATTTGTTTGTATTTAGTGTAAGATATGATATGATAATCATATTGTCATATAATAATTATACAATAACTTACAAATAAAAAATGTTAGCATACTAATATGAACAACAGTAAATAATAATAAATTCTTAATGGACTTTCTGCATCGCCTGTTTGTGTATTGATAAATGTTAACTTGCAACAATGTGTCTATTAAACGGGGATTAAAATCTTTTAAAAAAGGAACCTCAATTTTTTTGGTTTGAAGACATTTTAACTCGGAACCCTACCTAAAATCGATCCTTTATAGGGTTTTTTATATCATATATAAATTATTTCGCCATGTAAATCTATATGACTCACGCGTTATAGTACTAAAAAATTAATTTTGTTATAATCACAATAATATTTGGTAATAAAAATTATAAAAACATACAAACAGCTGTTTTATGATGTAACTGCAGACTATATGAAAAATTAATAAGTAATTAAATATTCATGAGTGATAATGGGGTAATTGCAATTCGTTAACTGATTGTCACTTTCGTTGGGTAATAAAATTAGCAATTTAAGCTAACTAAAATTTTAAAGTTACTTTTTCGACTTTAAAAAAGCAAAAACATTTGATAAGTTTAAATTCTTATGTCTAATGAACTTTGTTCTATGTCAATTAAATTATATAATATTCATGAAAGTCAGTGTATTCCCCTTGTAAAATATTTTTAAATAAAATACAAAACTTAGANCATGAAAGTCAGTGTATTCCCCTTGTAAAATATTTTTAAATAAAATACAAAACTTAGAATTTTAACACAAAAATAGCATATTTTTGAATACGGTAGCCAATTTCACCAAGAAGACAATCTATATTGCGATTTTTTTTTTTCATAGTAGAGTATATAATATAAGCTTTAATTTAAGATTAAATAAAAGTGTCAATATTTCCAAGACATTTTCAAAAATTAAATTGAAAAAGCTTAACTTGTGTGCAAAAATTGCTTTTTTGAATCCCTCCTATGGGCAGGTTTTGAGTTAGATTTTTAAAAAAAGGATATTAAAACAAAGGGAAACATCTAAGATTTGTCGTAATTCAAAAATATTAATAAAAAACATANTTTCGCCATGTAAATCTATATGACTCACGCGTTATAGTACTAAAAAATTAATTTTGTTATAATCACAATAATATTTGGTAATAAAAATTATAAAAACATACAAACAGCTGTTTTATGATGTAACTGCAGACTATATGAAAAATTAATAAGTAATTAAATATTCATGAGTGATAATGGGGTAATTGCAATTCGTTAACTGATTGTCACTTTCGTTGGGTAATAAAATTAGCAATTTAAGCTAACTAAAATTTTAAAGTTACTTTTTCGACTTTAAAAAAGCAAAAACATTTGATAAGTTTAAATTCTTATGTCTAATGAACTTTGTTCTATGTCAATTAAATTATATAATATTCATGAAAGTCAGTGTATTCCCCTTGTAAAATATTTTTAAATAAAATACAAAACTTAGAATTTTAACACAAAAATAGCATATTTTTGAATACGGTAGCCAATTTCACCAAGAAGACAATCTATATTGCGATTTTTTTTTTCATAGTAGAGTATATAATATAAGCTTTAATTTAAGATTAAATAAAAGTGTCAATATTTCCAAAACATTTTCAAAAATTAAATTGAAAAAGCTTAACTTGTGTGCAAAAATTGCTTTTTTGAATCCCTCCTATGGGCAGGTTTAGAGTTAGATTTAAAAAAAAATGATATTAAAACAAAGGGAAACATCTAAGATTTGTCGTAATTCAAAAATATTAATAAAAAACATAAAAAAAAATATTAAAGAAAAAAGGTCAGAATAATAATAGTTGTTGGAATTAAAAAATGAAGGTGAGACTTACTTTTGATTCGGGGTGCAATTCGAGGGTCATAAAATAACAATGTAAAAAAATCTTACCTGGTAAATTCTCTGGTTCTTATAATTATTCTTAGTGATGATATCGGTGAAAATAAATAAATAAAGTACACAAGTTCAGATTTTTAGTTGACAAATTAACACATAAAATTTCGACAATGACGATCACGACNATAAAAAAAAATATTAAAGAAAAAAGGTCAGAATAATAATAGTTGTTGGAATTAAAAAATGAAGGTGAGAATTACTTTTGATTCGGGGTGCAATTCGAGGGTCATAAAATAACAATGTAAAAAAATCTTATCTGGTNTGTAAAAAAATCTTACCTGGTAAATTCTCTGGTTCTTATAATTATTCTTAGTGATGATATCGGTGAAAATAAATAAATAAAGTACACAAGTTCAGATTTTTAGTTGACAAATTAACACATAAAATTTCGACAATGACGATCACGACGTTCGCATAACTTAATACGGAGCACGATAAAAACAGCGCAATACGGACCACGAAAAGAACAGCCCAATACAGAGCACGAAATGCACAGCTAGGAGCAAGGGTTTGCTCTGGCTTTTTATAATATTTTTTTACCCCCAAAAAACCTTAGTGTCGAATTTTTAGTATAATTGTTTATTGATGAATAAGCATGAAACACAGAGATCAATACAGATGAATAGAACATAAATTATTTTGACATTTACATATATAACATTAACATGTTTTAATAACATTGTATGTTATAAAAACATTATTACAACATTAATTTAAAAAATGTATATTATAGAGATAGGTTATATTCCCAGAAAAGCTTTATTTTTCTTTGTTCTATTATACAGGATAATTAATTAAAAATAAGACACTCATTTGCTTAGAAACTATTGAAAATTTTAAATTTTCATAAAAAAAAATATTGTTTGATTAAAAAAACTCAAATTGTTGTATATATTATTAAACAATTTTTTTATTAGTCCTAGTTGGGATAAAAATCCTAAACTTAAGTATTTTAGTAGAAAGCATTAATTTGTTTTGTCGAAAAAGAATAAATCAAATAAAAAAAAAAACCCAGCACAGGGGGGTTGCGACACAGTGGTGACGTGGCATAGTTGGATCAAGTAGAATCATATCTGACAGTGATTAAAATCACTTTCAAAATAAAACGCTTCGATGCAAATCTTTAGATAGTGTTTAATTTTAAAAAAATGGTGTATTATTCCAAAAGCTACATGATCTGCTAGTTCCTTATTAATATCCTGATTAAGATAAAGTATATCGAATGAAAAAGGGATTTTTAAAAATATTATTTCTCATAAAAAAATTGTGTTGATCCATACACTTTTCAATAAGTTATAGCATTATAAAGTTAAAAATATAAAAAATTAAATCGAGAATTTTCACACAAAAATAGCATTCGGTAGCCAATTTCACCCTGAAGACAAAATAAAGTACGAAATTTTTTTTTACCATAATAAGTATATTACATTAGCTTTAATTTAATATATATAGAAAAGTGTCAGACTTTCCGGAACACTTTCAAAATTTAAGTTGAAAAAGTCAATTTTTTGTGAAAAAGTTGTCATTTTGAATCCCCCCCTGTAGGCAGGTAAAAGTCAGATTTATATAAAAAATATACCAAATGATAAGTAAAAACATCAAGCATCTATATAAAAAAAAATTATATTGATATGTTCATTTTTGAAAAAGTTAGAGCATTATTAAGCTAAGCATTATAAAATAGCATTCGGTAGCCATTTTCACTACGAAGACAATGTGCCTTACTACAATTGATAATAACAATCCTGTGTACCTGCTAATATCGATGTTATAAAAAACCAATTAGCTACCTATATTTGTAATCCCTTGTGTATTATAACATGGATATTAGCAGGTACACAGCATTGTTATTATAATTTGTAGTAAGGCACATTGTTATTAGTTTATAAATACACTAACTGACAATACAGAAAGTATATCTATTGATAATCATAATTGATAATAAACAATCCGTGACTGAGACAGCAATGTAATAAAAATCCAATTAGCTACCTGTATTTACAATCCCATGTGTATTATACATGTATATTAACTCAAAATTTTGAAACTTTAAATGTTTATATCTAATAACCTAATAAAGTTATATTAAAAATTCAAATGCCATTTACTATTAAATTAAAAACTCAAACATTTTATTAAATTAAAAATATGTGTTACCATTTAAAAAAACAAAGTTGACCCCCCTCCAAGGCATAAGGGATGAACTTAAAAAGTATTACATAGTTAAAAATTCAAGAATAATGTGTAACTAAAGATAATAAAAAAAAAAAATGTTTAAATTATTATTATTCTGCAAGTAATTGAGTGGGTTATGATAAAAAAATCACTCTGTATATTAACATTCAGTATTTTATTCTATTAATACAACTTATAATACTTGCAAAATTCATGCATTATGGGCAAAAAAAAATTTTAAGTTAATACCAATAATACTATATTATTCTTATAATAGTGTAAAAATATGAATTACAAATACATTTTGAAATGTAGCAAATAAGCATTGCGGTAAATATTTTATTTTAATTCGATTTAAATCGATAAAAAAAAAAATGCTTAGTGTCCAGATATAAATCATATAAATTTATTATTATACTACAGTAAATACATTAAAAGAAATAATTATCTTAAGAATATAAATCATACAAAAAATATCTAGCAATATGGTTAAAAATATACTGAAATGCTGCAGAAAATGTTTAATTAAAATAATTATTTATCGTACTTATAATATAATATAATATTTATTTAATAAACGCCCTGTGGGCATAGAGTACAGAGA